ATATTATTATTGTTTCCAGTTAAAAATGACTATTGCCACAAAATAAATTGTAATATAAATAGTTTGAAAAGTCACTTCTGCTTTTCAGGAAACCAGTATTTTGAAACTTGGTGTGTACACCAATTTTATTTTGCAAAATACAATATTATTATTATTGTATCTATCCATTTTAATTGTATGGTTTAATCCTTTTAATTTCTTTTTCTCATTTGTTTTTCTTATATGATAAGACGTTACTAGATATTTGGGCTAGTATAGCCACATGTTTTATTGTTTTAAAACTGCTTAGTGTATTGTAATAACATTTAATACTCATTAGACAAATGGCCTGGGTTGCAGGATTTAAATCTATCACCAAACATACTTGCCTTTTCAACCATTGGAGCATTATAATGTGATTGTCAATCCTAAAATTTATTGCTAAAAGAGTAGCCCAATAGTTGGCAGTGGGTGCTACCAACCAACTGCATTCCCTGTGGTCAGCAGCAGATAACCTTACTAGCTTTTCCATAAACAAACAAACATATAATAAAGTTTCATGGTTGAGCACATAGCATGAACAAAAACAATAATATTTTGTTGTTAATTTGTTAAAGATAAAACCCTAGTCAGGAATGGTGTTAAAAATTTCCTTTATTCAAGAGTTCCTTGTTTTTAATAGTGTCTAGGTCAACAAAAACTAATAGTAACATTGCAGATTATGAAAGGTCTTATTGGTCTCCTACCTGTATCACCTAAGAACTTGACTTGGACAAGCAAAACATAACCATGAAGCCTGACATAGAAGGGGTTAACCAGGTATAATATTATTAAACACAGGTTGGGACCATGCTACCTCTTTGCGATTTGTTTAACGTATGTTTAACCAACACACTTTTAGCTGGAGTTTCATTTATTTGACTTTATAGAAATTTCTTACTTGTCATTAATATAACATGTTGAGCATCATTGAGGTTTAACCACAAGCATTCTTAAAATTGGTATTTCAAAATACATTTACCTCAGCAGAACTGCACGCTCAAACTGTTATTAGAAGCTGCAAGAGCTGGCTTTCTTATCAAAAAGGAGAAGTGTATTCTTACTCCCACACAGTACATCATCCACTTAAGGTTGTTTTTTCAATTCCAGAATAAGCCAGGCCCAAAGTTCTCTATGTCTTCAGGCCATGGAAAGGGCATTTCTTCAAATTCAGTTGTTCCCTTCTCCACTAGCCTACACAGTTCTATCTCTTTTGGGGATGTGGGCACTCTTGAAAGCACTCATTCCTTTAGGTCAGGCCCACTTGAGGGCTCTTCAATGGTCATTAAAGGACCAGTGGCTCATTTGCACACATACGCTGGATTTTCCAGAGTCTGTTGAATTCCAGCTTGCTGGATCTCAGCTGGTGGATGAACAGGACAACACAACAGTAGGGGTCCCTTTACCACCTCCATGGCCAGAGATACTTCTGTTCACAGATGCTTCTCTTCAGGGCTGGGGTGCTTGTATAGAAAATGTGGTATTCAAGGGACTTTGGACAGTAGAGGAAGCTTCTCTCCACATGAATCTCTCAAAACATTTAGCAGTTCAATGTGCTATAACTCGGGGTCTTGAATGTTGCGAGGGAAGGAGGTAATACTTCATTTGGACAACTCCACAGTATTATCATACATTTCAAAGAAAGGGGGCACTCACTCCAGATCTCTTTGTTTTCCAATAGTGGATATTTTCCTTTCAGCACACAAACACCAGATTGTTTTCCTTACTTGTCATGTTCCAGGATTAATGAATCAAGTGGCTGACCAGTTATCTTATCCCAACAATGTTTTTTCTACAGAATGGATGCTTCAACCTCAAGTTTTTCATTGGATCTGTTCTTGTCTAGGGACACCACAGATCGATGCTTTTGTCAGGTACTGGAGTGTTCAGCTCCCGTCCTTCTGGTCTCCAGTACCTCACTCTCTGGCTTTGGAAGTAGATGCTGTCAGTGAGGATTGGATGGGTCTTCATCTTTATGCATTCCCTCTGATTTGTCTGCTCTCCAAAGTTCTGGCACTGATTTGCTCCATGTCCTGTTGAGTTCTTCTGGTGACACCATATTGGCTGGGTTAACCCAGGTTTCCATTCCTCTAGTATCTTCAGGAGTGTCAACCTCTTCCACTTCCTCCCTGACAATCTCTTTTATGTCAGCCTTGGTCAGACATTTTTCATCCAACAGATGATATTCTTTAACTTTTTTTGCTGTTCGGTGCATGACATCAGGGTCTGATGTCTCATGTGGCATCTTTATTCATTCTCTCAACACCAACTCGATCAATTTGGTCAACCACATTACCTCTTTGTACTCGTTTAAATTCTATAGATTTAATACTTCTAACTTTCAATATAGTGAGTAGATCTTCACAAAATTTGGCAGTCTTTCGGTTAATATTATGTCTTTCACATACAAAAGAAATCATATTTTTTAGGCAGTATTTTTAATAAAATAAAGATTTGTCCATGAATATATTATTTGTTTTGAATAGTCTGTGTGCAAGTAATTTTCATGCTAAAATTAAAAATACTTCTCATCTCAAAAATCTCAAATTTCCTTTGTGTAATCCCTAAAACCTCCTGAACGCATTTCAAACGTTTTGTTTTTCAGTAAAACTTTATAGTGTGTCTATTATTATTCTCTACCCTATCTCAAGATGGGATCGGTCAATTCAACTAACCTCATAACCACCAAAAAAAATCGAAATAAACCTAAATTACCCTTTTCTCTTTCTAGAATGACTTCAAATTGTAACATGAAAGTACATTCGTTTATCCTAAGTAGCTCTAAGCTCGTAATAGTATACATTTATTTATAAATAAATTTTATTGCCCTTTGAACCATGTCTAACTACTTCCTGTGCCATTATAAGTTGTAAATCACTCGGGGAATGTGTAGCTCACATTAAGCTATCAAGATACATTACCCATGAGCTACTATGAGTTTCTCGTATGCATGCCTCCTCAACCATTTTCATTATATTATTATTATTACTTATTTTACCTAATCTAGTTTTAAATAACTTAAAAAAA